TTCTCTAACTGGAGTTTCTTCAACTCCGCAGTGGTGTCCACATTCACTTTCTGCACCTCAGTTGTAATTTCATCCTTTACTTGCTTTAATTTAATTTCTTCTTTACCATTACCTTGTACTAGCAAACAAATCCCCAAAGTAAAGGTTGATATAGTAACCAACGACGAGGCAATATGTAACAATTCCACACTAGTTAGTGGGAAAGGGTTGAAACTAGTTTGGTGCCACTCAAACTTGGTTTGGGTATGACGCCACCGATTAATCTCGACAAAGTAACAGAAGAAGAAGAAAAAAATCACAAAACAAAGCAAAACCCAACCTCCAAAAACACAAACACAAACACAAACACAAACACACACACAAATGAAAAATCTCAAATCCAGATTTACTTTCCAATTCTATCCATTTGCTCATACAACACGCGCTCATTGCTAGTTTCATGACTAGTCTCCTCACTCACAAAATCTTCAAATTCTTTGAATCTGAACTGTCTGCAAGAGCTCCCTCAGATTGAATTAATTTTTTTATTCTTTGCTTCTTTTTACCATTTTCATATCCAGAGCTACACTTTCTGGGATCCATTATTGTATAATAAATCCAACTAGAATAGAAATTCAACCCACAAAGATTATCTAAAATTCAACCCTCAATCCAACAGAAAACCCACAGAAATTCACCAACAATTGAACAGATTATCTGATTCAATTGAATCTGAACTGTCTGCAAGAGCTCCCTCAGATTGAATTAATTTTTTTATTCTTTGCTTCTTTTTACCATTTTCATATCCAGAGCTACACTTTCTGGGATCCATCATTGTATAATAAATCCAACTAGAATAGAAATTCAACCCACAAAGATTATCTGAAATTCAACCCTCAATCCAACAGAAAACCCACAGAAATTCACCAATAATTGAACAGATTATCTGATTCAAGCAAAACAAAAGTATGAAAGAGTTTTTAAAAAATAAAAATTAACAAAATAATGGCAAATTTATTCACCCAAAACCAAACACACCCAAAGCCTCGGCAAAATTCACCTGAAAATGAAGCTAATACGCAAATTTCACTGAAGGCAGAAGGTGGAACGAGAAAAAGGCATCAAAACAGTGAGCAACACTCCATGGCTGTATAATGAATCCAAATAGAAGACAAAACAGTGAGCAACACTCCATGGCTGTATAATGAATCCAAATAGAAGAGAAATTCAACCCACAAAGGTTATTTGACATTCAACACGCAAACCAACATGAAACCCACAGAAATTTGCCAACAATTGAACAGATTATCTGGTTCAAGCAAAACAAAAGCATGAAAAAGTATTAAACAATTAAAATTTACAAAATACTGGCAAATTTATTCACCCAAAACCTTGGCAAAATTCACCTGAAAATGATGCTAATATGCAAATTTCACTTAATTGAAGCCAAAAGGAACAGGAAAAAGCCATCGAAAACAGTGAGCAACGCTCCGTGACTGTATAATGAATCCAAATAGAAGAGAAATTCAACTCGCAAAAATTATCAGAAATTCAACCCACAATCCAACAGGAAACTTACAGAAATTCACCAACAATTGAACAGATTATCTGATTCAAGCAAAAAAAAAAGCATGAAAAATTTTAAAAAAATAAAAATTAACAAAACGATGGCAAATTTATTCACCCAATACCAAACACACAGATTTATTTAATTACATATTTATAGAGAAATTAGATTTACTATTTTTATGGGTTCAATCAAAGGAAGAAAATCAAATATAAAATAAAAGCGTTAGGACTCACCAGTTCCCAGCCTCATCGCCATTTCCACACAGCTAGGAAAGCTCTGAGCGGAGTGGGGTTTTAATTTAGGGTTGTAAGTGAAGAAAGCATGTTTATATAATCAAGGGTAAATTATATTTTAGTCCTTGTATTTTAATCATTGTATCATTATAGTTTCTGTAATTTTAATTCACTCGATTTTGACTTTAAATTTATACTTTTGTCTCAATTTAGTCCAATTGAATAAAATTGTCAATATTTTTTAATAAAAAAATAAGCACATAAGTGGGCATATGTCAAGATGTTAAAGACAATTATAAATTTGCTCAATTCAGTGACTTAACCTCAATTAATTTAGTAATAATTTTTTCACAAACAGTGGTGTCGTTTGGTAACACTTACGTTTTCAGTTTTCTGTTTATATTTACAAAAATTTAAAAAACTAAAAAAAAAACTTGTTTGATAAAATTTTTGATTTATAAATCAGTGGTCTCAGTTTATAAATTGGGCCAAAAAATGAAAACACAAAAAATGTGTTAGCAAAACAAAAGCATGAAAAAGTATTAAACAATTAAAATTTACAAAATACTGGCAAATTTATTCACCCAAAACCTTGGCGAAATTCACCTGAAAATGAAGCTAATATGCAAATTTCACTTAATTGAAGCCAAAAGGAACAGGAAAAAGCCATCGAAAATAGTGAGCAACGCTCCATGACTGTATAATGAATCCAAATAGAAGAGAAATTCAACTCGCAAAAATTATCAGAAATTCAACCCACAATCCAACAGGAAACTTACAGAAATTCACCAACAATTGAACAGATTATCTGATTCAAGCAAAAAAAAAGCATGAAAAATTTTAAAAAAATAAAAATTAACAAAACAATGGCAAATTTATTCACCCAATACCAAACACACAGATTTATTTAATTACATATTTATAGAGAAATTAGATTTACTATTTTTATGGGTTCAATCAAAGGAAGAAAATCAAATATAAAATAAAAGCGTTAGGACTCACCAGTTCCTAGCCTCATCGCCATTTCCACACAGCTAGGAAAGCTCTGAGCGTAGTGGGGTTTTAATTTAGGGTTGTAAGTGAAGAAAGCATGTTTATATAATCAAGGGTAAATTATATTTTAGTCCTTGTATTTTAATCATTGTATCATTATAGTTTCTGTAATTTTAATTCACTCGATTTTGACTTTAAATTTATACTTTTGTCTCAATTTAGTCCACATGATAGCATCAAGACAAGACAAGAACCTTTACCTAGGCAAAACAAGTCCAAGTCTACAAATGCAAGCTTAACAAGACAAAATCATGCAAATGTACATGAACATGACTAAGACATGAATGTGGGTTATTACAACCGACCCGCCACCACCTACCACCACCAACTACCCACCACCCACTGTCACCACTTTCCACCACCGTCTTTCGCCGCCACTTGCAACCACTTGCCATTTCTCACTCTTTTTTATATTTTAATTTTTTTTAAACATTTTGTCAATTATTACCAAACGCGTTTGTAGTTTATATTTTTTTAAAAATAAACAAAAATTAAACAAAAACCAGTTTATAAAATTTTTGTAAATATAAACTGAAAACGTAAACGTTACCAAACATAAAGGTATTATCAATTTGACCAAATTGACACAAAATCTAAAATTAATGGTCAAAATTAAACCAATTAAAAGTGTAGGGACCAAAATGATACGAGACAATTATTTTTACTTACTGAAATTTTTTTGCATTTAGTAAATTATTTTTACTTTTTAAATGCATAATCTAAGAGCCTATTTGATTCCAGTATTAGAGCATAGGATTGGATTGTTAATCCAATGATATTATTATTTATATTATGGAATAATGAATGACTTGATCTATTATGAAGTTATCATATAAGCGCTACTCAATGAACTTAATTATATTTTGTTATTGCTTTCGCTATTCCCGGATTATATATAATGATATGATTTTGTTATTGAGGCCAAAGGTAATCTGGAATTACTGGCCGGTCATGACCTAAGCCTCTAGGGGCGGGTTTGGATCGTGAGATAGGTGGTAGTTGAAGTTCACATGGTATGTATGCAGGAATCATTTGAAGTCCTGATATGAAGAAAAATGCACTGACTACAGTTTGATTCAGACCCATTTAATATGGTAGTTGACAAAAAAAAACAAAAAAACACAAAACAATAGAAGATCCCAACTCATTAGATACAAAGATGAAATCCAAATTGATCGATATTTAAAAAAAAAAGCAAGTGCTATTCCATACAAAAGAATGCAACACGACCCACAACAAGAAAACCTAAAGAAATCAAGAAAATTAGATAATGGTCATGGTTTATAATTAGATGGTGGGAGGAAGAGATGTACTTCCTCAATTTGAACTTTGTTACTTGTACATGAGTGGAAGGCACACACGGAGATGAAAATGTAGAGAGATTATGTCATGATTCTCTCATTCCCTTCTTAATTTTTTTTTCATTGAAGTTTTGTTCTACTGAGATTACTGTTTTCCAGGATGACAAATCAAGTAATGGAACTTAAATATATTGTCAACGTAGATAAATTATTAAAAGCAAAATATTTACATACAAATCATGAATCAAGAAGTCTCAACAATAAGCAAGGGTCCTTCTTCCCAAGATATAATAGTTTCTTTCCAAAAGTAGCAATTCAGAAAGCTCTTTAAAAGCCTCTCAACAATGTATGTGTCTTCTGGTAAGTAAGTTATTGACGTTTCTTTTCTTTTCTAGTAAAAGTGAGTTTCTCTAATCCTCTTCAAAGATTGTAACAGAATGATGTAGGATTTGGCTAGGTAAGGAACCATTCAAAAAACACTACCCAAAAATCCTTACTTGATCCAAAGACAGGCCATCAGTTTTTATTTGATTTGATTTTTGTTTCTAGTTTCTGAAACATATTTGAATGGTTAGTAAATTAATCTATCTACCTATCTAAACCATTAAAGATGGGAGAAAAATAACACTTACAATATAGCGACCCCGGTCATTTCCCATTTGATTATTGTATCCGGGCTTAGGTTCCGTAGATTCTGTCATTGTATAATTGTTGTTGTTATAGCGACCCCGGTCTTTTCCCATTTGATTATTGTATCCGGACTTAGGTTCCGTAGATTCCGTCACTGTATAATTATTGTTGTTGTCCTTTATTTTCTCATTTGGAATTATAGGATGTGTTGGGCAGGTTTGTTTCAGGTGTTTCTTTTCTTTTCTAGTAAAAGTGAGTTTCTCTTATCCTCTTCAAAGATTGTAACAGAATGATGTAGGATTTGGCTGGGTAAGGAACCAATCAAAAAACACTACCGAAAAATCCTTGCTTGATCCAAGGACAGGCCATCAGTTTTTATTTGATTTGATTTTTGTTTCTAGTTTCTGAAACATATTTGAATGGTTAGTAAATTAATCTATCTACCTATCTAAACCATTAAAGATGAGAGAAAAATAACACTTACAACTTGGCAGCGCGACAACCGACATCACCTCCAACAATAACGGCTGGAATTACCGCAACTGGCACAATAACAAAAAGTTTCAATACTTGATTTAAAGGCTGGGAATTCAAAAGAATTAAACAGAGACCTATGGAGAACAATCAAGAACGATTAGGGTTTCAACATATGCCCTAAAATTGACGCACCTCTCCCTCTCTTCTCCTTGTTCATCGCACCCTTCGTGCCCTACCCAAAAAACCCTAGTCTCCATTTTATAGCCGCGTGCAATAAACTCTTTGTTTGGTTACAGCCCCTTAATTGTCTTGCACTGTGTATATTTCCCAGCCCTGTAATTGTCTTGCACTGTGTATATTTCCAGGTTAACAGCACATACAACTCGAACCTTGTTTGTTTGGCTATATTCATTATAAGCCCATTTTTTAAAAAAGATTTTTGGATACACTAAGAGTGATTCTATTTGTACCATTACTTTATCTATTTATACCCTTTATCTCATTACATTACCAAAAAAAAATATAATTCTCATTACACCTATTATATTATCAAAACTAATCTTAAAGTGAGACTCTTCAAAACCCTTTTATCTCTTTACACGAATCACTTTGCTTGGTTACACTTTTCCAAAATCACTTTTCAGAAAATTTTATTTTTTTGTTTTTATTGAATTTTTTTAATATTTTAAACAATTTTTTTTTACTTTTTAGACATACCTACCATAAATATACCTACAAAGTAAGAAATTTGTGAAAAAAAACCTTTTAAAAATTCACTAAATACCAAAAATACAAAAAAAAAATACGAAAATTCAGTACATTTTTTGTATTTTCATGTATTTATTAATTTTTTAAAATATTTTTTCATAAATTTTTTACTTTTTAGATACATCTAAGTAAGGTGTATCTAAAAAAGTAAAAAAATGATTATACTTACACCACTATTTTATCTTTTTACACCTTCTATCTCATTACACCACCAAAAAAAAGTGATTTACATTACACCTATTATATTACCAAAATTAATTCTAAAGTAAGACTTTTTAAAACCCTTTCATCTCTTTACACCAATTGTTTTTGGAATGAAAATAAGGGAACAGAGAAAGACGTAGCAAGGGAAAGACGCAGGGAAGACAGTGAGTGGAGCCCACAACGAAATGCATGTTCGGTCACACAATGCTAAACAATTTACATTCCTTCAGTGTTATGTTGCTCGAAAAAATAGATTTCTCCAACGTTTTGTTACTATACATTTATAGAGTCACTTTCTTCCAAATAATAATTTTTCAATTTATGCTAGGCCTGTTCGGTAATACAATACTAATGAATTTGAATTAATTCAGTGTCATGTTACAAGACAAACTTTTTTTCTCTGCAATATGTTGTCATTCGATTGGATGATAACAAGAAATTAATTCGGGGCCACTTGTGAAGTGACTGTTCAGTGATATATCTATATAATAAGGAAGCTCTGTTTTTCAAACCAGATGGGACATCTATCTTAGGTGGCAATGAGATTGAAAGGCTGAGATTAAGTTGAAGGTTGTATCCTTTTACCTTTACCGTTGGATATATACTTCAACTTTGAAACCCATTTCAAACACATTTCAGCCTTTTCGTCGTCTCTCTCTTCAAACCCATTTCACTGTTTCTCTTCACCGTTGGATATACCCTTCAATTTTGAAACCCATTTCAAACACATTTCAGCCATTTCACCATCTCTCTCTTCAAACCCATTTCATTGTTTCTCTCTCTTCAAACCCATTTCACTGTTTCTCTCTTCAAACCCATCTCTCTCTCTCTCTCTCTCTACAGTGGAAAGCCACAGACAAAGCATCGATCGAACGAATTGGGGCAACGATTACACTGAAGATCTCCTCGAATCAGGTCCATTTCTCTCTCTAATGCTCAATATACTTATTGGGTTTTCACTTCTCATCAAAATCTCATAAGGGTTCTCAATATATAATTCTTGGTAAGTATTCCATCTCACACTAATCACCCAACATCTTCTTAAGTCCTCCATTTTACCTATCCTCAAATGGAAAACAGAGTTGATATTAATGATGAAAAAGAAGTTCTTCACATAGTCATGTTCCCGTGGTTAGCCATGGGTCACCTCATCCCATTCCTCCACCTCTCCACCACCTTAGCCACCAAGGGCCACCGCATCTCCTTCATCTCCACCGACGGAAACCTCCGCCGCCTCCCCCAAATCCCTCTCCGCCTCTCCCCTCTCATCACCTTCATCCCCCTCCCCTTCCCCGCCATCCCCAACTTACCACCCAACACCGAATCCTCCATGGACGCACCACACCACCAAACTCAGCTCCTCAAAATCGCCTTCGATTTTCTTAAACAACCACTCTCGGATTTTCTTGAGAAAATTAGCCCGAACCCAGATTGGATTATCTCTGATTACGCCTCTCACTGGCTGTCGGGACTTGCGGCGGAGATGGGTGTTTCGTGTGCTTTTTTCAGCCTTTTTAATGCTGCGACAATGGTGTTTTTTGGGCCTCCGGCGAAGGTGTTGAGCGGGGATTGTGTGAGGATTTTGATCTAACTGAAATAAAGATTTGGTCACTTAGAATATTATTATGTAAATTGTGGTGCAGAGAACTAAAGGTTTGGACACTTCGGAATTGCTTGAGCAGTTGCCAGCATTGCAGTAGCTTCTATTTCGTGTTCTTGGTTGCCAGGTAACTTTTTTTTGCTTCACTCAACTGAATCAAACATAATGCTGTCTAGCTTTCAAATATGGCCTCTTAATGAAACTTTTGGGCAGCCACAGGAGCAACGGTTCATAATTTTGTGATTCAATTAGCACTCTCTATGGTGAGTGGAGTTTATAAATTTTCCCCCTGCTTTGTCCATGGATTTGCACTCTGTTTGGATGGGGTGATTTGGTGAGAAATGATAAGAAATGATGAGAGTGAGAACTCTCTTATTTTGCCTATTTCATTTCTCATCAAAAGTGGTGAGTGAGATTGGTGAGAAACAAGCTGATTAGTTATAAAAAATTTATAATAGTGAGATTGCCCATTAAAATTCCAAGGAAGAAAAATAAGTCTTTCATATCCATCTCACATGCATTGCCTTCATACCCATCTGAGTATGATAGTAAGAAAACACAATCATTTCCTGTCTTTCTCACCCACGATCCCAACGGAGTGTTATTGAAGTAACTTTTCAAATAGAATTCTTTTGACCTGACTGTCCTTACTTTTTTCAACAGGTTGCTTCTGAAAGCATTAAAATCTACAATGCTATCAGCGATGGTGTCGTAAATTTGGTCGACAAGGTATAATGTGGCTTTGGATTTTTGAATGAGTAGTTTTGTTTTCAGCAAATCATGGATATTTGATAACATGCAATGTGACAGTTCTTTGAAATGCAACGACATGATGCTCTTAAGACTTTGGATATATATATCAGAGGTCAAGGAAACAGGTAAATAGTTCTTTGGAATTATTTCTAGCAACTACTTGCTCTTTTTTTTATATATATATTATTATTGTTATATGCGTTCTCTCCTTACGGGTATGATCATATCTTCAGGCAGAAAAACACTCCCTTTCTCCCTTTAGTTAGATATGAGGGTCAACTATTCCTCTTTTGGACTCAACCTACAGTAGAACCCACTGCACTATAGAGGTAACGATCTAATTTATTGAGTTCCATTTAATTGAAATTTTGTGTTTTGGTTATGAGTTGTGGTTCCACATAATGTGTTTGCCCTGTGCGTTTCTCATTTATTTATTTTTACATTTATTATCAGCATTGTGTAGATATATTGTTTTAGATCTATTGTGAAACTAACTTTGGGATTTTGGAGATTGTTGTAGAGCTGCTGATGTATCCTTGAGTTTATAATAATTATTTTTTGTATTGTTGATAACTGGCTTGGTTATTGTGTTTTCTGTTGTGTTTATTTTAATTATTGCCTAAGAAAAAGAGTAACCATTGTAAGGAAAGAAACCATCTCAATTGTCTTCTCTCTCCATTTATATCTCTGCTATATGTGTCAAGGTATGTCTCTATATCTACTTTCTCGATTAGCTTTTATTTTTTGTTGTATTGTGTGTCTATTATTCGTTACTTTTAGATGCATCACTATAAATATGGTCTGTTTCTTTCAATCTGTCATAGATTCATTGTTGCTGGTATAATTCATTTTTTTCTATTTTATTTTGATGACTAATTTTGAGTTTTTTGGTTATTGTTCAGTGAAGGGATTTTAATTTTTTGTTATGAAGTATATTGTTAATGCTATTTGAGTTTTTTTTTTTTTTTTTCTTTTTCCAGAGCTATTGTATCTATTGATGGTGTTAAATATGATTTTTAATTATAAATCTGTGTTGGGGGCGTTTGGTGTCAAACACAAGCTCAAGAATCATTAAAAAGAAAAAAAGCCACAAAATGGCATAATAGGGCATAAACATAACACATGCAAACCTGATTTTTTTTGCATAACAGGGCACAAATATCTGATTTTGATTATCATGCTTCTCTTCCTCCAAAATGAGTACTATTGAATTTTTGTAAAAAATTAATGTTCCTTTCTTTTCTTATTAGGTTTTGGATGATGTGTAATTATTGTGTGCTTTATAATTAGGTAGTGAGTGCAAAAAATAATGATTATGGCAAATGCTACATGCATAAATCCAAATAAATTTCACTACTCTTTGAAAAAAAGGGCAATTTTCTTGGGTTTCATAAGTTCAAATTGATTTTTTATTCTATATTTTTCAGATACTTTTGTGTTTGATTCAAAAAGGAAAAGTGTTCCGAGTCTTCAATGAAAGATAGATGCATTGGTTATTGCTTGCGTGAAAGTTTCACGATCTGTTATCAATTTAAGATGAGTAGTTCTCCTTTGTCCACATGGTTTAGTAATTTTATGTTTATTGCCCAAGTTAATTGATTAGTTCTCCATTGAAGTCTTTGCTAATTCAATAAATCTATATAACAAAACAAGGGTGTTGATGGGGCATTTGATAAATTTGATGTTTTTATGTATATTTATTCAGATTCAAATTAGTTTAACTGGATAATTGATTAGTTTAATTGGATATTTTTATGTATTCAGATTCAAACTATTATTTACTAAATTTGTAGATTTTATTGTGAGAGACAATCAATTTGACAAATATACATTAGAGAGAGATGAAAATTGATGAACCATTATGAGATACGGAGAGGTTAGTTTCTAATTGCTAAACCATTTGGCAAAAATTGATGAAAATTGTTGAACTTGAACCATTTGACGAGACCTTCTTCTTTTTTTTTATAGAAAGAAATAGAGCTTTAATTTCTATGTTGTTTAATTTGTACATAAATATTCACTCAGTTTGTTATCCTACCATACAACATAACATGCCATGTATAGGACACAACACAATATAATATTCACTCAGTTTAATTTAATATTCACTCAGTTTGTTATCCTTTCTATTAAGTTGATTTTTGGATTCAATGATTTTGTCAAGGATCATTTACTCCACTTAGTAACCCAATAGATGCCAAGTGGGTAGATCAAGCACTACTAGGAGCATATCCTCCTTATTGTTCCTTTACTAGGAAGGGAATGTAGCATCACCAATAAACTGAGACAACTCTTCCTAAAAGCTGGTTAATGTTTTAAACTTGGTCCCTAAACATAATGATAGTCTCTTTGTTCTTGGTGCTATTTATTCTAATTTTATATTTCTATTATGCTTTCAATATATTAGTCTTCACAGGACATAGCATTAGAACAATATTTTTAATTTTATATTTCTATTATTGTTTCAACATTATGGTTTCAGGGCATAGCATTAGAACAATTAAGCCTAGCCTCATAATTAAATTAGATTGCCAATGGGTTTAGTGGCAAAACCAATATTTTGGCTTGGGGGCAACATTAAGCAAAAACCTAAGTTTATATTGCCAATGGGAATAATGGCAGAAATAATATTTTTGGCTTGGGGGTAACATTAAGCAAATGCCTAAGTTTATATTGCCACTGGGTATAGTAGCAGAAATAATATTTTGGCTTGACAAAGTTTTGCCCAGTTTCACAGGCCTATTACACACTCAGTTGTGTAGTTATGAATTATAATTAAAGAGCATGCATTTGTCTATTCTCTCTCTCAATTAATTGGTTTATTAGGGGAACTGTATACGTATCAATTTGCTTACTAATCGATAGTTGTAAAGAGCATGCATTTGTCTATTCTCTCTCTCAAATTGGCCCCTCTATAAAACATGTATTGGTATCATTTCGTCAACAAAAATAATTTTGCTTATGTATGTAAGGTTGTGTTTGAATCATAATAACTTTATATTTCCCTCATCTTTTCTTTTTCCTTTTTAAATTCCTATCTAAATTTAAAATGATATTCTCAGAGGGGAATACAGTGAGGGTGGTGGTTGTGCAATACGATTTACGTCTAGATCAACTTAGTTTGCGGTTGACATTCAATTTCTATGGTCACTAGCATAAGGCACGAAGAAACCTCATCTTCATGTTATTTTTTTCTTTCAAAATGCAGCTTCTCTGTTTGATACTCAGTCTATAATTGGAACAATTGTTATGTTTTATCACATAAATACATTTTTTACATCTTGAGTACTACTTTATTTGATAAATTGTTCATATTTTGCTCTTTCATGATAACGAAACTACATTGAGCTTTTATCTTGCGCAAGTTATTTTGGATAATATAAACATCTTAAAATCAGATTGAGCATGACTATGAAAAAACTTCAATCCAAATTTAAACACCTTAAGCGTCAATTCAAAGAGCTACTTTTGTTTAAAGTATATTAGTTGGTCTACTTTTGAAAATGCATTTTCATGGCATTGGTATGTCATGGGTGAGAGAGAACTTAAGAAAAAAGTGAAAAGAGGGTGTGTGGTTGTGCAATGAGGTTGTGGGATGACGGGAAATGGAAGTATAGGGAGAAAAAAAGTGCAAACAAGTTACTAGAACAGTGAGGGAAAGATATGGAGGATACGTAGCGGGAAATGGTTTGCAATTGAATTAATGGATTTGATTTAGTTTAAAAGATGAGATATAAGTTAAAATGATTACAAATGTACGTTGGCAAAAATATCAGTATGAACTGGATTGTTAATATTTAGGTTACATGCTAAATTTTATGTTCATAAATTTTTGTATTGGCTGGAAATTAATTATATTTGTTGAATCAATTTTTCTAAATGCTCTATTAAGTGTTTAGAGGCTAAAGGTTGAACTTCTGAAATCATGTTTAAGAGTTAAGATTTAATGTGATGAGAACCTGAAATTGAACTTTTTATTTGTGTTTGATGACTTTAGTTTTTGCAATTGTTATAAATAGTTATATATACATACATATACAAACCTCTTTCACTCTCTCACATTTGCATACTCTTCCCCTCCCCACCAACTCTTGATCCAAAGCCTTTTAGGATGGCTTCTTTGTTGATGCAATAAAGTTGTTATTGCATAGGAATACTTTTGATGGTTGATTTCAAAGTGGATTAAATATTTCAATAGGCCACAAAACAAAAATGAAAATCCACTTATTTATATAATAAACCACAAGGGTTTTTGAAAATGTCTTACAGTTGTTTTTAATGGTTGAGATCAATCCTAATCAGCATCTGGCAGTTAAAAGTATAAGTTGAACAAAATGTGTGTTGATGCTAGACCTCTGGTTCTTGCCTACCAGTACCTCTGTCTATCACAAACATCTCTCTCCCTCTTAAAAAGTTAGTTTGAATTCCTATACTTGAACGAGAAGAAGAGCTCTATTGGTTTTGATATAAGTGGGATTACCTTAAAAGTTAGTTTCTTTACAACATAATTTGAAGAACGGAAAGAGCTCTACTTAGTTTACTATCTCTCTCTCTCTCTCTCTCTCTCTCTCACACACACACACACACACACACTGTCACGCCCCCAAACCGCCCCTAGTAGTTTGGTGCCGTGATGGCCAGTAATCCGTAATTACCGAAGGCCAACTTACAAGAACCACACACAATCAGAGTATAAAATATGGGGCTTACAAGTGCGGAAGCAATATATATATACATTTACAGAATCTAAATAGTCCATGAGAGCCGTGCATAAGTCCAATGAAATGACATACATCTTTATAAAGTCTTACAACTTAAATACAATAAGGAAATGAGGTACAAAACACATCTTGACCAAAAGGCTTCTCAAGCCGACATATACAAGTACAAATGAAAAATAAGCCAAGAAGCATGATCTTCAAGATGGTACAAAAATGCTAATCCAAAACATGTCGGCAATGCACCCAAAAACACATCGGCATCACATCTAGGCCTCAATGCCTTCTTGTTCATCACCTACATATATATAGAGAGGGTGAGCTTGGATACTCAGTGAATGATATTAGAAATAAAGGTTTTGCATGATTGATATCCAAGATTTCTTTCAAAACAGTACATAGCATACTTTACAATCAAGGGGAAATCAAGTTCAATGCCGGCCTTTCAAGTTCTTTGGATGTTATTACATCTACTTAATACAAGAGGGTGATGACAATTCCAAGACAAGAGTGCAGTTGCATTATAGTCCCCTGCAACTAAGGACTTTCAAGAAATGTCATCAAAACAAGATAGTGCTTAATATACAAGTAGGGATAGTCATTCACGCTAGATCAAGTACTTTTCAAAACAAGGCAAGACGAGATTTATGAAA